CCACACCCCGTCAAGCAGTGTAGAGCGCACGAGAGGGCGCGGGACGAGGGTTAGAGGCCGAGGGCGTGGAAGTGGGCGTGGTCGTGGCGGTCGCGGTCGCGGTCGTGGTCGTGGTGGAACAAAAAGAACTTTTCAGGATGGTCGGGATCCGACTAGAGGGCGGCGCATTTCTAACATCGCAACGGAACGCTTGCTACTTGAAGATGTTTTTGTCAGCGATGTTATTGAAGAACGTGCGCGCTTGTTTTGTTTGTCGGCTATGGAGAGACTAATTGTCGAACGAGCAGCCCGTCAGTTACCATCATCGAGAGCAGGATATGTTGTTCTTTTCATGGACGAGCTGCTCAAGACCTGCCAAGGTTGGCTTAATGAACAAATTTGCCTACACAGGATAGAAACTACACGGATAACACTGCCTGACATGTATCGGTTTCTGTCCGTCTTCCTGCTCTCCCACTGTACAGGGTTTAGTTTTTTGAAGACCATACAGTTATTAAGGAACGAGGGCTGCAACCCACCTACCCTGGACCGAGTTCGCTTTATTTGTAACAACGTACTTGCCTTCTCGCCGACAGGCCGAGGGAGGGATGGTGGCACAACGTGGTTGGCACAAAGGGACCAGACTCAGCTTTTGACGCAGTTCGAGAACACGGCATTCAGGCAGACATGCAAATTTTTTGTCTCACCAACGTATACTTTGGCCACCCTTGACGACGACTTGTACGGCACTCGTGCTGCTGACAACCAGGTTAAGACACTCAGTAGCAGAAAGGCCGATCGCGAAGGCCATGCAGCTGATGCAATAGCTGACGCTCTTTTTCGGATTACATTAATGGTTCGCTTTCGTCGCCGAGGAATTTCGCAAAGCAGTAATGTGTACAGCTTAGTCGAGTCTGTCCTAGAAGGTAGGGGTGAACGGAGCGTACATAGTTTCATTCTAACAGCCGACCGTGGATACGGGAAGGTTTCCCTGATGCGAGAATTGCTCCGACATAGGATTGGATCTATAATGATTATGCCAGAGCACCTTTTACAGTGTCATCCATTTGTAGGAAAGTCGTACTTGAATGTTATGCGAAATGAAGAAGAGGTTTCCGGAGAAGACGAGGAAAGTGACAGAAATTGTGCACAAATGCCTGAGGAGGAGCACAACACACCAGACCAGCCCCTCAATCATGACAGTACTCTCGACTATAGTGGTGCTACAAGTGGTCTACTCGATCGTCCCCGTGCGTTTGTTATAAACGACGACCCGGAGGAGGGACCCCGGTCCTGGTGGGCTGTTAAAACATTTAAAGTTCGTGAAAATCGCAATGATACCTCGGCCAGTAGGTTCAAAGTCACAGCAGTCGCAGTGAGGGAAAAAGGAACTGACAAGTTCAGCCGGATCATACGTTTTCTGTACACTGTACCCTCAAATGTCTCAGCCAGTTTGGAGACATGGGTTGCGGTCCCCAAGACGGCAGCTTTAAATAACAAAATGTTTTCAAAGAGAACTGACAACGGAAGGATATTGTGCCCACCGCCGGACACATGCGACCTTAAGGATGAAATGGAACGCCGTCTATTGGCCAACTGCATTGTGTTAACAATTGACCAGAGATGTGCTGACTGGTTCGTTTTACGTCAGTTTCGTGTAACCGGGACAAGTGCTGGGAAAATTCTGTGCAATAACAACGAAGTAAGAAACATTATTGGAATGGATTCTAATGTAGGACAGAGTACGGAACAGACCCTACAAAAAATACTGCAGTCTTTTGTCAAGACATGGTTCAGTTCGAGTCGATCGAGTGAACCAATGATGCGTGGAACAGCTAATGAGTCAGCAGTCATTGCTTCACTAGCTTCTAGGGACTTTGTTAAGTGCTTGTATGAGTGTGGCATGCTTGCCAAGAAAGGAGAGGACTGGTTGGCTTGCTCTCCTGATGGTGTAGCATTAATTGATCTCCATGCGCTTGGAATGCAGGGAGACGTTTCAGAGGGACCGAACAATCATCTAGCATCGGTGGAAATCAAGACTAGTGTTGCTCAAATCAGTCTAGATCGGGCACTGTCCCTGGCAACGGCGGATGTGGTTAAATGCGAAGTTGGAGAGTCTTCATTTACGCACTACATTCCTGATGATCATGTCGGGCAGCTACTACATCAAATGGTGGTCCTTAGAGTTAATTATGTGATCTATGTCTCAGCCTCCGAAGCTGGAGTGATTTATACTGCTCTCGTACACTGCACGGATGCTATTTTAGATAACTGTCATGCCGCCTTGGCAGCAGTTGCGCAGCCTGTGGTCTCATGGGCGCACCAAGAAGAACCCAGTCCTCCTACGTTCAGTGACGCCGCAACAAGCCGTATAATTAAGTCGAGGTTACAATTCTGGCAACTCGTGAACAAATACGTCAAACAAAAGGACGCTTTTCCTCCATTGAAGCTTTTTAAGCATGCTTCTCAAAGTTGTACTCCCGCACTAAGGGTGGGGTTGACGGGAGCGCTCAGGCTCGCGCGATATTACGCTCATCGACTTCATCAATGAAGTGGGAGCAAAAAGTTGTCACACAAACGTTTAAAACACTGGCCATTAATTCTTTTATCGCATGGCGAATGGAACAGAAGAAGGATTTGTTGGAGAGCAAACAGGCCTTCCAGAGTTTAACGTCTTATCGGCACTCAGTTAATCAGGTAGAATCACTTGCGGATTTTGTTTACGAGGTTTCTAGAGAGCTCTTAATATATTCTCAATCGTTGGAAACAGCGGATGCCATATGTAGAGAAGAAATAGATGATGTATCGGACACTGAAGTGAGAAAACTGTGTACTCTCGCGGCAAGGAGAAAACGGAAGCGCTTGCTGTTTTTTAACGGAGCTGATGGGAAGCGATTGCGACTCAGCATCAAGAATCATGTTGTGAAACAGCAAAAGGATCAACAGTATTGCGCATTATGCGGAATAAGGGGAATTGAGGGCAATGAATCAGGGTGGAGGGGACACAGAACGACGTACAAATGCGTTCATTGCGATGTATTTGTATGTACAAGAATCTATCCCAGAAATCGCAAGAGCTGCTGTGAACTCTGGCACTCGGCCAATGTTTTAAAGCCGAGGTGCACTCCTCGACCTGCCCGGGCATCAACGCAGCCAGACCCCAATGATCAGGACGATGATGAGGGGTTTGAGGAAGAGGATTCTCATTCGAGGACAAGGGTTAGGGACGAAATTGCACGTACGGTGCCGAGACGTTCAAAGAGAAGGAGAACTCTGTAGCAATTGTAGTGCGCAAGATGCGACGTGGCCCGATATTAAATAAAAAATTTCAATTTTTTGGTTGGTTCCATATATGGATCCTACAGCAAAAAGGCAGAACGAAGACGTGAAGAAACCCAATGAAAGATGAGATTGGAATGGGGAATTGCAACCTCTTCCACTCGACTCGCTGCCCACGATTGCGGGGAGTGGAGCAGGACCAATGACTTTCTGGAAGATGGCAGCTTAAATAGGCACAGAAGCGATGATATGGGTCACCAAAAGTTTGGTCCCATATATGGAACCATAGAATCGAATACTAGGGATATGTGGGACGGCGATGTCTTCATATGAGGACAGCTCTTTTTTTTGCAAAAATATAGAAATTAAATGGAACATTCAAAAAGTAACCTTGAAAACTATTTTCTTAACGAGCTTGTTTTCGGCAATACTGTAGCATCTTGCAGAACACAGGGATAGCAGGCTTTGAATGCGCAAAAACCTTACGAATATAATGCAGATTGAGTATCAAGGTGCCATTTTACACTAGCGATTTTGGTTTCGAAGTTATTTTACATGCGGTTCTACGGTGGTTTAAAAAGGCTTCTTTTCCAGACATATCTAAAAACGACAACGAAGAACATGCAATTCTCACAAAATCCTTTCTGGTCCCAAGTCAGAAGTCAAGTACGATGGCGCGAGTATCTTTATTTGTATTTTTCTTTCTTGTCGGGGAAGCGAAAGTCAAGAATAAAATATGTCGAACAATGTCCTCATATGAGGACAATGGTCCAATAGACACTAGCATGTACGTCGGGTGACCACTTTTCTCCGTCGCGCACTCCTGCAGTTCCAAAGCCCGTATTACGTTCGCCTCGACTTCCTCCGCCCCGTTTAACAGGAGGGCAACAAACAGGGCCATCGACTCGACGTGATTATTCGCGCAGGTCCTTCAGTAGAACAACTCGCGACCCTTTCTGCGTTCGTGGCGACTCGGTCGGCCCCGTCTATCGAGAGGGACCGGAGAAAGAACATTGCGCCGACGATATCATTCTTGTCCAAAGCCTCTTAATACAACTCTACGGCCCGTGTTGCCTTCTCGTCGACTCTCTCTACCGTTATCATCTGCAGTGCAGAGCTCGCAGAATGGGCATCACTTCGATGTGATCATTTCTCCTCAATCATCGACCGGGAACCGCGCACATGCGCGCGTCGAACGAGTCGTCCGCGTTGGAACCTTCGTGTGGCGTTTGGAAACGGCCTGTGGCACGCGCGCGCCGTAACGTATAAGTCGTTACGTCACACGTATGCGGAAAGCGGAACGCTAACTCTTTTCACAATTCCTCAACCGACGGAGGCCCACCAGACTCTTTTTCGTGCACAAGTCTTGCTGCAACCCTTGCTGTCCGCCACAATTTATTCACACACATTTCCATCCCGAACCACTTGAAGCGGTGGGAATACACGTCGACTTTACCCCCGCCACATAAGCACAATCCCAAGCCGGCCGGGGAGGCCCGGCTTCGTTGTCCTCCCGCTGGCAACTTCAACCGCGTTGCCGTGCTGAGCCGTCCCCCGGCTGCGTGCGGAGGATGTCCAAGCGGGGAAATGTTAAAATCGAGCTACTTCTGAATCTCCCGGCCTTCCTCCACACAACTTAAAAGCCGCCCCCGCCGCCCGCCTCCTTCCATCCTTCCATCTCCACATCAGCTCACCAGCCTCAACCCGGCAGCCTCATCTCTCTCAACCACATTTCACTCACCATGAAAAAAGCCATCGCCACCTTTACCCTTGTTTGCCTGCTGGGCTCCATCGTGGCCCAGCCTACCAGTGGCAACGGCCCAGCTGACAGCGAGGCCTTTGACGCCGTCGGCCCCCAGAGCGCAGTCTTCGAGACTCGTAGCATGGCCCAGTGTGATCCCCGCTTCCGCACCTTCGACGGCACCTGCACCAATAATGCCACCGAGATCAGCCGCACGCAGGGCTCCGCTGGTCTGCCGCACTTCTCCTACTTTCTGGAGAGCCCGCCCGAGCTCCTCTTCTCTGGCGAGCTCCCATCCCCTAGGCTCATCTCCAACGGCCTCACCACCCAGACTATGGACATCCGTGAGCCGCGCGGCCTGAACGAGCTCGTCACCTTCTTCGGGCAGCTCATTGACCACACCTGTGCCTCCACCCCGACCAACAACGGCGCCGAGGGCACTATCGCTGAGCCCGCCTTCATCGATGTCCCCGCCGACGACCCCATCATGGCTAACATCTCCGGCTCCCAGCTCATGTTCTTCCGCTCTGAGCGAGAGGAGCTCCGCCTCGAGCCGGGCGTCGAGCGCGCCATCAACATCCTCACCTCCGCCATGGATCTGGACTCCGTCTACGGGCCCAGTAAGGCTCGCTCCGACGCTCTGCGCTCCTTCGTCGACGGCGAGCTCAAGACCAGCCCTAACGATCTCCTCCCGCTCAACACCCTGGGCCTGTCCAACGAGCCCTCCCCCTCCGCTAACTTCTTCGTCGCCGGTGACGCCCGCTCCAACGAGCACCCCGTCCTCACCACAATCCACACCGTCTTCCTCCGTGAGCACAACGACATCGCCCGCGAGATCAAAGCCGCCTTCCCGGAAATGAACGATGAGGAAATCTTCAACAACTCGCGCCAGGTCAACATCGCCCAGTTCCAGAGGATCGTCTTCGACGAGTGGTACCCCGCCATCACTGGACGCACCCTTCCCCCCTACGCAGGCTTCAGCCCAACCACGGACCCCACCGCCAGTATCCTCTTCACCACCGCCTCCTTCCGCGTCGGCCATACACTTGTCAACAACGAGATCACTCGCCTCGGACCAGGCTTGACTCCTTTGACCCCGCTCGACCTCACCATGACCTTCTTCGCCGGCGTGGGCCCGATCATGGCCGAGGGGATTGAACCGATCCTCCGCGGTGTCCTCAACACCGGTGCCCAGAAGATCGATCTCATGGTTGTTGACGCCCTTCGCAACTTCCTCTTCACCAACGTCGAAGAAGTCATTGGCCTCGACCTCATCGCCCTCAATCTGCAGCGCAGCCGCGACAATGGCGTCATGCTGTACACCGAAATCCGCAGTCGCTTCCGCAGCGGAAGCGAAGCCGTCGTCGAAGGCTTCTCGGACATCTCCAGTGACCCCAACGTCCAGAGCAGGCTCCAGAGCGTCTACGGTGACGTCGACAGCATCGAGGCCTGGATCGGACTCATGGCCGAGGACCACGCCCCTGGCAGCTCCATGGGCGCGACGATGCTCGCCATCTGGGAGGAGGAGTTCGGCCGTTTCCGGGATGGTGACCGCTTCTACTATGAGAACACGTTCCAGTATGACCCGCGCATTCTCGCCGGTATCCCCAGGCTCCAAGCTGCCTTGAATGGAGAGGACACCATGAAGGCCCTCTTGCTCAGGAACACCAACATCGCGCCCGCTGATATGCCGGACAGCCCCTTCTTCACCAACTAATTGTGTCAAGGATTCTAACGTTCTTTACAGCCACATTTTCAAAATTCACTCTTTGACATTTTAATCATTACATACGTACCGACCCGACTTTCTTCTTTTAGACCAACTGCATTTTCCAGATATGAAGGTCCTCTCCAATAAAAATATAAGACTGCAAGGTGGTTCTAACATCTCTATCAGCTCTGGCCGTCTTGCAAAACAAGGTACAGGTACTGCACTCTACAGTACAGTTTTGAACGACGTTTGCATCACGCAGCTACGTGGAGAGAGGAACATGCATTGAGAGCAGATGGCTTTTGCTCCATTCCGTTTACTGCATCTACTGCACATATTTACTGTACGATATGTCAGCATCCTCTCGATATACATTGAAGTACAATGACAATCTATGAGCTACTGCTGGAGATGCAACAGCCGCCCGAGACAGACGGCGACGACTTGACCAAGAATCTGCAACAGTCCGGGAATGGAGCGAGGCATTGACCGCATCCGCTCCTCTCTTTTTAAAAACTTTTGAGGGCTCTCACAGCTGGCAAGTCACAACGGAAAACGACAGCGTGACGCGGCGAGTTTTGGGAATGGGCACCTTGGGCACGGGTTCGGCCAACAAATGTTAAATACTTTTTGCTGGTACGAGTCCTTCTATTGGCTGTAATTGGTCATATATCAGTTTTACTTTCTTGCGAGGCAAAAGGCCACTGTCATGCACACGTGTGTCCGATGTGCCTCTGTATCACCACACCAGAGAGAAGAAAGCCGCGGCAGTGAGCGCTGGTCTACCTGTGAAGTTGTCATGTTTCCCTTACCCCCTCCCTCCCTTTATCTTTCTATCCCCCTTCTGCCCTTAACCCTCGATTTAGAACATGGAATAGCAAAATTTTCAAAATGATCACGACACTCTGCCCGGTCGCAACCCAACCTAGCCGTCTGATGAGTGTTTCGACCACGGTAACCGGAAGAGCGGACTGCAATCTAACACTTGAAATGGATGCGGCATAAAAGTAAGGATTACAACTCAAGATATGGCTCCTTGAAGATAGCTCTCGTAACAGCCTTTCAGAGTCCAAAACGTCCAATATTTTAGGAAGAAACTGAAAATAAGCTATTCCATGTATGCGGTTCCGGTGGAAGAGGCCCAGAAGATGCGTTTTGCATTACTGGAGCCTCTGGTGCTACCAAACACCAGAAACAGAGACCGTGCACATCCGTTTATACACGAAACTTACCAAGCCCTATCCATTGTGTCTTCTCGTGCGACGAGCTTTTGCATTGTTCTAGTTATTGGCCAAGAAACTTCTCATGAGTGTCGTATCGTACGATCACAGCCATTGATGCAAGTAGACAGTCTGTATCTATTCGAAAGTGCTGTAATTCCATCGAAATTCTTTTATTACATGTTAAACTACTCACATGTGTTTGGGGTCACGTTTTCTTTCTCGAAAGCAATAGAAATGCGTCTTCTTTTAAGTCTGCATGACCAAAACGTAGACAGGCACCCGTGCGCACAACGTCAACGCATTAGCAACCGAAAAATCTGTGGATCCTTCGATAAATGGGAAGGGTTATTACGCCCCAAAGACGTAGAGACCAGCTAGAGGGCGTCACAATGGAGAAAGATCTGGAATGCAAACGTAGTAAGTATGGGAGATGGTGGCCAGCACTATGAGGAGGGACACGCAGTAACCACGATGTAACGGGGAAGGGACGGCAGGACAGGCAGCAAAAGCAATATGAATTGAGCGTCGGGGAGTCCCGATGCACATAAATCAAGACGGATCACGGGCGGGACGGATGGCAGGTGCAGGTGAACAAGGGAGGGAATTAGGGCAGAGAAATAAGAACGGCGTGGAGAGGAAGGAAAAGAAATGGCGAAGGGGAGGGAAGAAAGTAGGGGATGACGGAGCTAATGATCAGCCTGAAATGAAGCTGTGCAGAACGATAGAGGACGACAGAAACATTACTTTGGTTCGAGAAGGGTAGACTTTAGCTGTCCGGCACGGGGACAGCCAAAGTCTGCCGTCTGCCTTTCTCGAACGAGGGAGAAAACGGCCAGGTAGAATGGCTAGTGCTTCGAGCACCCCTTCTTGAAGCAATATTAATATCTCGGGAGGCTTTCAAACTTTCATTTTACATACGGAGAGTTACGGTCTCCGCTCTGGAAGTTTTGAGGTCAGATACGGTTGCTGTGTTAAGAATTTGTAAGCATTCACGGTCCTGATCCGCTTCAGAGACCCTCCGATTATATTCATTTACCCTTTGCTTCAGTTGGGCAATCTCGGCGCGAAGTTCAGAATTTTCTTTCCCGGCATCCTCCATTCTCCGCGAGGTCACAGCCGGCTGGGGTAAAAGAGGCTGTGAGGCATCTCGCGTAGAGTGACGTACATCTTCTGCATGGGGAGAAGGTTGAGAAGGGGTCGGTAGTAGAGGGTCTGGAAGAGTGGCAACACCGCCCGCTTCACCAACTTGGGAATTGCGGCGTAGGATGAAGCCACGACGAGGGCCGGTGGCCGACTTCGTTGCTGCCCTCGTCTTCGGAGTAGACTCTGCTCCGACAACAGTACACGGTTTGACAAGCTCGGAGCTTATCAACCCGTGTACTGTTGTAGCAGCCGCCCCAGAGCGACCAGAGGCATTTGCTCTCAGCTCGGATACATCAGGTGCCGCTGACACTTGTCTAGGACGAAGGTTGTCAGTCGTGGTGCGATTTAGGGGATCCAATAGGCGTCGCTGGTTTTCAAACTTCCTCTTGCGAATTGGAGATATCCTACGCGGACGCGCAGGGGGACTCTGAGCCGTGCGTTGAGATCGTGAAGGGGGAGTAGAGGGAGGACTGAGAACAGGGGTTCGCACATTCTGCCTACCCTTCCTGAGCTTCTTGTTCCGCCTGGGCTCCAGGAGCCGTACAGCGATAGGGGCGTTCTCCAAATCTGTGTCCGCTTCGGAAACGCCGTTGGTGTTCTTGAGTGTCGGCGAAGTAGGCTCCAGTTCCCAGCGTTTCCTGCCAGCCCGAGTTTGTATCGCGGTGCCGGCTTTCCCGGAATGTTTGGAAGGGCCTGCCATTTGCCATACATAGAGAAGGTAAAAGTAAAGTGTGAGTGAAAGGAGAAGAAATGTAGGGGGAGGGAAGAAAGTAGGGGATGACGGAGCTAATGATCAGCCTGAAATGAAGCTGTGCAGAACGGTAGAGGACGACGGAAACATTACTCTGGTTCGAGAAGGGTAGACTTTAGCTGTCCCGCACGGGGACAGCCAACGTCTGCCGTCTGCCTTTCTCGAACGGGGGAGAAAAACGGCTAGGTAGAATGGCCCTGAAAGTGGCAAGCCAATTTGAAAGAGCAACGTGGGCGTTCTACATAAATGGTGATGAAGGAGGGACGATGTACGTATATGAAGATAATTGGCCACTGTAGTGTAATGAGTCTTACTTACACAATACATGGAAGAGTTTTTCCATCTGGAAGAGATTTCTTCCATTTTGCAGTTCAGAAATTCCGCACTTGCAAGTATTCCACGTCGGTACATCCAAATTTCGCATACATGGAAGAGGTCTATTCCATGTATTGGTTGAGGGTTAAGGGGCAGTACCCTCCGCCGTCCCTACGGGTGCAGGTGTACACGCATACACATGTACACGTACGCGTAATGACACTACCGCGGCAGTGAGCGCTGGTCTACCTTCGGGTATGAGCCGAAATTGATGCCCCCTGCTGTGATACAAGGTCGTTGCTGACGCTCTTGTAATCAGGATTTGCTAAGTGTGGAGTGTTGGTGGCGAAAACGGGGGGAGGAAGGCCGCACGCGTAGGGGAGAGAGAAAAGTTTTTTCAGAAGCGTGAAGTTTATTGAAAGAGCGGGGGTCAGTCCGGGGTGTTGTTGTGTTCTGTTCTTTGTCGCGGGGTGTCGCGGCGCGCCCCTTTCTCTTATAGAGGGGCCGCCAACATCTTCCACTTGCCAGGACCGCCGCTCTTCAAAGGGAGATTGTCCACGTGTACACCTGGCGTACACGTAGACCAATAAAATCACCTTTTGAAGGCTTTGGCCCTGGGGCCACTCCCGGGTACTGTACCCTGTACAGTACCCCAAATCTCCCCCACACGACAGGGGCAACATATATATTGACCGCTGGCCGCTCCTTTGCTCCTGGTGCTCGGCTTGGGTCAGGGAACCGGCGCTCGACCTTGACGATCCAATTGACACAATTTAGTGTCACCATCGACACCAATCCCCCAATCACTCCACGTATACACGTGTACAGCTCATCATCACTGTAAGCTATCACTTTTATCATTAACCTACCCACCTTCTCTACTTTTCACACAACTAACTTCGGTTTTCCTGCGTTTTTTTCTTGAAGAACCTGTCACCGCGTCAGGTTCTAATTGCCTCCAGTCTCAGAGATCGCTGATTGCTTGTGTGGCAGTACTCAGGTGAGGTTTTAATCCTCGAGTCTGCCCCTTGCAAGAAACCTGATCTGATGAGGATGGCGAAAACCAAGCAGACAGCGCGCCGCAGTACTCGCGGCAAGGCGCCCCGTAAACATATCGCGTCGAAGGCGGCGAGAGTACCCGTTGAAGAGCACAACGCTCGTGAGAGGATAATGTGGCTATTGTCGCAAAGAACGGACGTAATGAGGGTGTCGAAGAATGAACAAGCTTCGCCTCGTTTTCCGTACCATGTTTGGGTCGGACCGAATCTGACAAGGTATGACTTGGATTTGACGGAAATGCTCCGCCTTTTCGGTCGACATGTTGTCATCCACTGAAGTGCGCGAGGAAAGCACGGGGTCTCGGTAGATGAGTTTTTCCGAGTCGGCCTGACTGAATCGATTGACGATAAGCGTGCTTATGATCACGTGGAGGATGATGCTTGGAATATTGAGTCTATCTGCTACGATAGACTCGCAAATAAGTACGTCGCCATCGACGTATGCGATAAGTCGAAGCACCCCATTCTGCCGTATACCCTACAAGTCTGTGGTGGGAACAAATCTTCTGGCCACCA